CTGTAATAAACGCTGTCGATCGAAAAACATGTTACCTATATATTTTTCTTAGTTACACTTTTTTTTTTAAATGTTCAGTGGCCCAAATTATGCCAAAAAAAACTTCTTTTAAAAATGTAATTTTCATTTCGTAAAATAGTGCTTTTATACAAGTAGTATTTAGTTCCTTCAAACGATGTATTTCAATGTGCATCAACATGAAAATTTTGTACAAAATTCCCTAGGCGCCGAACGCCGCCGCCGCCGCCGCCGCGCCGAAATTTTCGTAACTCGGCGGCGGCGCGTGAAAAATGACAAAAAACGGCGGCGGCGGCGGCGTTGCCCGGCGGCGTATACCTCTAGTGTGTACCCACTCAGTAATTATGGCTCTCGAAGAGGACCAACTGACACCACAGAATGGTTCAGGTCCCGAAAAGGCAGTTGGCGATCCTTCTCATGCCAACTCGTCGGCGATCTCGTTTCCTTCGATTCCACAATGGTCTGGTACCCAGCACAGTGTTACCGTATTTTTGGCTACCAAAATGTGTATATGGGGGCTTTCACTGCGACAATATGTATGTATGTATATCATAATGCAAAAAGGCATTAAAACTTTGTGGGGGAAAGTAAAAAAAATTGTTAAAAATCGTTTACTCGCTAAAAATACATAACGTTTCCTTATTGACTCTGAAGATATTTTACTTGTTATTTTCAACTGGCACTCACTACAGCCATGTCTCAGTTTGGGCCGAAAACAAAAAACTTTGCCAAGTACCTCTCTCCTCTGCAAATATGCATCTGTCAGTCAGATCCTGTCAGTCATATCCTTCTGCACTTAACCCTTCCACCGTATTCGTGGGCACCGTTTTTTCCTTTATTTACCCATAAATGCCGCGTCGATGTTTTGTGTGCAGCATACTTTTATGCGTTTAACTATTTCCTTGTCATTGAAAAGCAAAAATTTACAACTGTCAACAGTGACATATTTCCTAAAACGACTACGTTTGACTGAGTAGATAATTGAGAAGTATAGTAATATCTCGACGTAGGAAAACCACACTCTATAAGTTACTCATCATGCCCGGCTGGTGTATGACGAAGAGGCATGGAAGCCGAGGAGGAAAAGGGAAGCCTAGATTCACTTGGCTTTTCAAATTGACGTCATTTGTAACAGAATAGAAACGGTCGGCGTATTTTATTGAGCTCGGCCAAAATTACTTAAGCGCTTCAGTCTCTTACGCAGAACCGTCGATAGTGCATTGTATGTCTCGCTGAGTATACTTCCCAAATATACTCTAGATCGGCTCACTAGCCGGTGCCACCACCGCTCTGGAGTACTACCATCCATTTCCATATCTTTTAAGAGCCAGCCCGAGTCTTCAATCCATTAAATATCTGGTTTATTTTCTGATAGAATTTTTGGGCTGCATTTCTGTCTGCCAGCAACCCAAGCTCTTAGCAAAGACGTATGTACTTCTTTCTGCCTCTTTTTCCTCCGTTTTGCATAGACCCCTCCTTTCCTGCCTCCTCTTCTTCGCAGGTCAGGGGGTTGAATTTCAAACGCTGGGCGAACACTAGTCTTTAAATTTTCGTGCAGTACATTGTGGGCTTAACACATCGAAGCTTTCTAATGCGTACGCATCAATGAATTTCACTTTTATATCTTTGCATATTATACGAACATACATATGTACGCACATGCAATACCTGCGTAATTTCTTTAATTATTTCAAGTACTTCATGCGTGTGTATGTGTGCGTGTGCGCAAAGGTTGGCTAAGCTGAAAGTGGCCGATTGTTAGTTGTTGTTATAAATTTTGTAAAGATCGCTGACATTTGAAAATAATAAGATTCATACTAATAAAGAAATGGCAATCAATAGTGTATGGATAATTTCACATTGAAATATTTTGCACGCATTTCAGCATATTTGTAATGAATCTTGGTCTTAGAAAGAGTAGTGGATAAAACTGTTTTCGCAGCCACTGCTTCCTACCGGTGTTATTCTTATTATATCTGCGTACTATACAAATAGCTGGAAGCAATTTAACAGATTTTTTTTATTTTTTTATTTTTTTTTTTTTAACGGAGAATACACATTTTTTTCGGTGATCATGAAGCTCTATCCACTTACTAGTAGTCTAGCAACAATTGCTTCAAAGCCCATTGTTGCGCCCTAAATTTACCGTACGATGAACGTTATAAGGCTGTACGGTGTTTGGCTTGAAGCGGCGTATGCCCTGTCACGTTCATTTGCAATTGGTAATTGCGTATTATTTACATAACGTTACATTACTTTTCCTTGCGCTTGTATAAAAGCTACCCCATGAGCTGAATTCTCAATCAAAGTTCGATTTACTTTCATACTGACCACATACTTTGGAAAGTTCTTTCTTCAACGCCGCCGAAGAAGAAGTTCCAAATGAAGTGTCTCGCGTTGATATTTATCCTTGTTGCTGCTTTAGCGCTGTGCGCACACGCAAAACCAGAACCGGAACCTGCGAAAGGTGCTCAAGCGATCTAACAAGTTAGATTCATCGTTTGTTTACACCATTTTTTATTTTTTATTTTCCTAGTGCTGCGCGCCGTTTTTCCTCGCTCTCGCTCATCTGGTGATGTGAAGGATGCACGTAATACTAATACTGCTGATGACAAAAGTAAATCTGACGTTGTCGCCGACTCCGATGCCAATGCCGATGCGAATGCCAATGAGGATGCCACCACCCCAAACAAAGGCTCTGGTGCATCCAGCGGTCGTTTGTTTTTGAAAAAGCTCACGCTCTTTAAAAATATATTCGGTAGTCAAGAACCCGCGGTTATTCCGATCATCATTGCCAATTCCGGCACAGGAACATACACCACTCCTACATACACTTCTCCAACCAGTACAATTACCACCACAGGCTCCATTCCTACAGCGACGGGCATCATAAGCACTTCTCCTACCTCCGGTACAGGTACTGGTACAGGTACGTCGACCTCAACCGCCAGTCGGGGTGATACGGGCCAGCGACAGCATGAGCAGCCGGCGGATGAGGCTGCTGTAGCCATTGATGAGGAACAATTACAAGCAGCACTTGCTGCTGGCGCTCAAGAGTATGTAGTGACAGATCAGGAAATTCGTGGAACTTCCGATGCCAAGGCGACCAAGGGTCCGGCGCGCGTGAATTTGCGACGGCCCGGCGGCAAAAAGGGCCAGTTCGTCACGGTGCGTATACCGGCAAGATACCGCCAGTACTTCAAGAATGGACAAAAGGTTATGCTAAATACAGGTAATCGTCCACCTAAGCGACGCGTGATAAAAAGGAGACGCGTCAACAAAAATCGCAGAAGGAAAGCTGGTGGAAAAAGACGTCGCGTAAATAATAAATCATAAAAATTACACACAATATATGTATGTACGTATGTATGTGCAACAGCAATGCTGCTCATGAAGTGAAAAGAAGATATGTGTCATATTGTCATTGTAACAAAAGGAAAAAAAAAAACTCTTGAAATGTTAATATTAACTTATTTATATCTGCATACTAAAATAAAATAACATTTTTTAGAGTACAAAGAATGTTGGTACATTATTTGCCACTTCGTTGAAAGCACAACTCAGGAAAAAAATACAAAGTTAGTTTTAATCGTTAGTTAGTTTTTAGGGGTATACATAACGTGACAAACTATTTCGTAGCTCATAGAAGTAAAGGTTAGGTTGGGTTAAGTTGACGCCGCGTGCCGATTACGAAATTTCGAATGTGGCTAATTTCTATCCCTGAGAGCTCTGTGTTTTTTCAGAAGTGCGAGCCAAAATTCTGCCATCTTAGCCTTGCGAAGATTGGACAGTCTAAAAGAAAGTGTGGTGATGATTCTACTTCATCTCCCTCTTGACAGCTAATACAAAAGGATCAGTCGAAATTTCTAGTCTCAGCGGATGAATACCAATCACACAATGGCCTGTCGCCCATTAGAGGTAACGTGTTTTAAAATGCCCTATAAAAACGTTTGCTGCAGCAGAGAAACGCCTTCTTTACCTTTTTCATGTCACAAAAGAACCCGTTTTGTCTTAGACTAATAGCAGTTCGTGCTGCGACAATTCCGTCTGCAATATCCGCAGGCGCAGTCTTCAAAAAATGTATGTTAAGCGGCAGTGCAGGTGTGGTTCCTAATGCTCCGCTAATTCCTGTTTTACAAGTGTAGCCTTCTCTAGTGAGTTCTACTAGACAAGGGCTCCTTGAAATAATATAGGCTTTAATCTGGTTTCCTAGAACTAACCAATTAATTTGAGCGAGTTCCCGTACAGCAGTACAAGGCAACAGAAACCTTTCCTACCCTTTCCTCGATGTTAGGCTTCTACGACAGCCGCCGTTGAGCCAGATCAAAAAGGGTGTATAGAAATAGTCCTTTAACCAAAAGTTCCACTTCCTCTATATAGCCGGTGACACGACAGCCCACTTTTCCAGTTCCTCTAGAAGGTCTATTACAACCACCTTGTAGACAGTGACAGTTCTGGCACGAAGTCAGCTTATTAGGTAGGTTTCAACATCCGGATTATGAATATATTAACTACTGCCTCGGGAGTGACATTGTTGAAAGCCCCTTTGATATCGAAGAAGGCCTCTACTGCATAATTGAGCTCTTGAAAGACAGTCACGAGGACTCTCGTTTCTTATGTACAGCTCTATCAGTCTCTCTAGCGTTGTTAGCAAAAATTCCCTCCGCAACACTGACTGCTCTCCAAGCCTTGGGGATATTCCTGGTCCTCACGCAGTTCGCTTAAATAGGATCCAACCAATTGCACGACACCTTCAGAGCCATTTGTAGCTGCGCAGGTACTTTAATGGTTTAACGAACTTATCGTTCAGGCCATGTGACGATCATCCAGAAGATGGGAGAAGTTTAGGACCTGGGGAAGGTTTCCCATAGGAATACCGGTTCTACCGAGCAATCCTTGCACCATGCAACTATTTTGCAAGACTTGCTTTTTTCTGGTTGAAGACTTTTGCTTGCAAAAATTTTATTTTTAGTTTGTTTAAAATTGTTTAAATTGTTAAAATTGTTTAGTTTTGTTTGTTTGTTTTGTTTTTAGTTTGTTTATTTATTTTTAGTTTGTTTAAAATTTTTGTAAATGCCATTTTTGTAGGATATATCGCACACCGTCTTTAAAAGAGGCACAACTAAAAAAATGTACACAGAGGTCTTATTTACCTTTCAGCAAAAGCTGGAGCAAATTTTTGTTATATTTTGTTGAAAAAGCCGAAGGTAAAGTCTTCCTCGCCCATACGATTAGCATGTGCTACGAATTAGTGTTTCGCATTTTCTGACGAACGCGTAATTTTGAGTTGTGTCACCTTCTGAAGATTGCGTGCGATATGTAACACAGACCAACAAAAATCTGGAAACAATTTGTTGCGGCAAATGTTAAAGCGGTTTAAGGGTGAATTTTTTTTTATGCTGATTACGAATGCGTAAATATAAAGTTTCCATCAGCTCCTGATTTTGAGAAAAACAAGGTCAAAATGTCGAAAAATCGCATTTTTGCCACCCCTGTGGTCAGTTGGTTACATTTAGCGACATTTTGACCAGTTTTGACTTTTTTTTTATTTAATGTTTATCATTTTTTTATTAAAGTCTAATTTGATAAACAGCACCACAAAAATCCACATTACAAACTTAATACAAAAATTATAAAAATTCAAAAATTTTTCTAAAAATTTTTAATAAAAATTTTAAAATATTTGGGTGTAATTGTTAAAGTATGTTTAATTTTTATAAATTGTGTACAACGTTTGAAATGCGGATTTATTTGTTGCTGGTTATGTACTTTGCTATACTTTTATAAAAAAAAATATAAACATTATATCGTCGCTCCCAACGAAGAGTAGCACATCTCAAATTACCGTGGAAGACTAGCACGTTTCACTATTCGCGTCGAAGACTAGCACATTTCATTATTCGCGTCGAAAAGTAGCACATTTCAGTTCTTGCGTGGAAGACTAGCACATTTCTTATTGCGTGGAAGACTAGACATCAATTGTACTAGCATCGTTTTTGCGTGGAAGACTAGCACATTTCAGATTTTTGCGTGGAAGATAGCACATTTCGTTATTTGCGCTGGAAGACTAGCACATTTCAGATTTTTGGTGGAAGACTAGCACATTTCAGCTTTTCGCTTGGAAGAGTAGCATATTTCAGATTGTTAAGCCGCGAAAACTGCACGTCTCCGGTTTAAAGTAAATCATAAAAGCATAATATATATTGAAAATTCAAACGTTTATTCTATATTTCTTTAATTGTATTATGAAAATCATGAAATTCAGACGGTATATACCGTTTACTAATCATTTGTTGAATATCATCCACTTTTCTTTTTTTTAAAGGTATTTTTCCCATGTAAGCTTTAGGCAATTCACAGTGTTTCATGGTTGACCATTGAACATTTTTTTTCATTAGGTTCAACTTCTCCTCGCTTTGCATAAAGTCGTATTTTACTGCCATGTCTACTTGATTTTTGCTATTTTTTATTGTAATTTTCCGTACATGTGATATCTTAATTTTTTGCCAATGAAAATATTTGGACAGTTCTTCGAAGGAAAATATTTCATTTGCGTTTGCGTTGTTGAAAATTTGTTGAGTTTTTTTAGTATTCTCCTGGGCTTTAAACTTGGGCCAATATGGATTTTTTTAAGAGAATTAACTTTATTTTAATTGAAGGTTTTTTAAGTAAATAAATAAACATAACATAAATAATATCACTTTGAAACGGGGTGCTCTTGATATGATACTGTATGTATATGTTTTTTCGTATTTATTTATAAATAAAGATTCCCTGAGAAAGACGCGAATGTCGAAAGGTGTAGGAGGAAAAATAAACGTTTATTTTACTTGTAATAACCGGCCAAAAGGCTCCATATACAACACTAAACTTTCAGCATGACCGAAGAAAAATAATTATAGTATAAACATACATATTTATCTAACTTTTTTTTTTTAACGGCTGCTACAACCTTATATGAACTGCCTTGCGTATCCCTCTTCCACACAAAAATCTGAAATGTGCTAGTCTTCCAGGCAAATAACGAAATGTGCTACTCTTCCACGCAAAAATCTGAAATGTGCTAGTCTTCCACGCAAATAACGAAATGTGCTACTCTTCCACGCAAAAATCTGAAATGTGCTAGTCTTCCACGCAAAAATCTGAAATGTACTAGTCTTCCACGCAAATAACGAAATGTGCTACTCTTCCACGCAAAAATCTGAAATGTGCTACTTTTCGACGCGAATAATGAAATGTGCTAGTCTTCCACGCTAATAGTGAAATGTGCTAGTCTTCCACGCGAATAGTGAAATGTGCTACTCTTCGTAGGGACCGACGATATAGATAAAAGGAAAGTAGCCAAAACTTGCTGAACACAAGGGTATATGTACGGTGACCATATTTATGCGAGACGAATACGGGATAAAAAAATAATTTTACTAGTTTTTTCCATAAAAGCTAACAGATCTTAACACCTTCATAAATGGTCTTAGATTTTTCTGGAGATTTTTTCTCCACAAAATTTTTTACTAAAGTTTCGATAAATTTTAGTACGACAAAGTGCAAGTTTTAAGTAGCTGGGACTTACCGTTAATTTTTGGCAATTTTTTTTTTGTCGACAGTGCTACGAATTTTTTTATACAAAGTTAGTATGTTTGACAATTTGTTGATAGGGAAGCAAATAAGGAGCACGTTGCACTTACACTTAATTATACCAAATTTTAATGAGCTAAAAAACTACAAAACAAATTTTTCTAAAGGTTCTGATCAAAAAGTTTGAAATTTTGGTGAAAATTTGCAGAATTAATTCTTATAGTTTTTGCACAAAGTCTGAAATTTCGACTTATATGGTTTTTGTTAGGAAAAGAGCTTTTCGTAAAAAAATAATAAACATCAATTGAACAAAAGAAAAACCTTGTTAAAGTGTAGAATCCTTATTTATATTTTGGTCACTGTAAGTGTTCCTCGATTCGAAGCACAGGCATTCAGACTGGTTCATAGTCATGCAATTTTAATGAGCTTTCAAGGCGTCGAAATACCGAACCCCGAATACGGGACAAATACAGGGCATTAAAAGAAATACAGAACGTTTGGCGTCCCGTATAAAATAAATTAATTGACATTACAATTGGTCAAAAAAGCGGACTGTCCCGTATAATACAGGACGGATGGTCACCGTAGGTATATATACATATATCAAATTAAAGGGATTTCTATTTCTTATCGAGTGACAAAAAAGTAATAATTATTGTAGTTCTCGGTTTCCCCAAAAAATAAAGTATGTATACCCCTTCACACACTCCGGGCACTTGGGCGCAACTTTTATCAGCTTGCGAAGGGCACACATCCAGTACATTTAAGGGTTTTCTTCGCGATAATCGAATGATAATGCTGCTCAAAAATTCAAGATACATCTAATGGCAAGGGTTTATGGATCATAACTCCAACGAGAATTGTGTAGGTTTTTAGGTCCTAAAAATCCGTTCCCTGATTATGCGAGTCCGAAATGTCAAATACTAGTTCGTTTTAAACTTCTGTAAATTTCTCTTTGATTGAAAAACAAAAGTATTCCTGCTTTCGAAATTCTGCTTTTAAAATAAAAAATAAATTTCGTATATATGTATCTGCATGCATAAATAGCCTTAATAGCAGTACGTACATATTTAATTAGGTCAACCGACCATACATACTAATGTATAAGTATATATGTATGTATGTATATAAATGTGAATACCCTCTTATACTATGAACACATTCTTGTGGTACATATATACCAAAAATCTTGAGCTGATAAGCAATTGATCTAATTTAATTCTTTAAAGTTTAAACCTTCCAAAACTCCAGCCTACAAAGTAAAATAACAGTTAAAATGTAGTGGCTGCTTTCGAACAGCTATAAAAGTGCGAAAGCGTGTATTTCGATATACATACATACATACGCTATACAAACCCAGTACGGAAAGGAACTAGATTAAAATTGATGTTCAACCAGTTTTTATCCCACTGCAATAAATTGAAGATCTGATTTTTTTCCTTGCAACAAACTGTTTACTTTAACATTGCGATGGCCTAGGAAGTAGTCAATTATCCGACTCTGCATTTGATTTCAACTACTATAAAATGCATTTAGCTTAAATCACTTCAAAGTCAGTATATTTCTTTCGCAATTGTCTTTTAAACCAATTTAAAATTATTTAGTATTAAATGCTGAATTCGTTAATTGCCCATAGTTAGATGATTTTTCAACTAATATTGAATTATGTATTTGCAAAGGTATCAAAAGTGTAACATTTGGTTTATCTCAAGGAGGCTGCTACATGATTATACATCAATTTGAAATTAGTTGCTACATAAGCAGAAATAAATTACTTTTTCTGAGGATATTGGTTTAGCTATGCCGTACTGGGAATCAACACTTATACATACATACATTCATATGCACATACATACATTACATAAGTGAATATATTTGGAAGTAGATCAGCACCATGACAAGTGGCCTATCGAGTACTTGAATTGCCCGCCAGTAAGTAAGATGATTTGCAAGAAAAACCAAACGAATTTCAGCTACATAAGTAGGTTCATACTTAAATATAAAAATTCTATAAATTTCTGCAATCCATTCAAAAAACTTTTATATGAACGTGATTATTAAAGTCGAAAAGAGCACGAAGCAAGTAGCGGATTTTTAACTTTGCAAACTCAACTCAAAACATTTCAACCGCAATCATGCATGCACGAAATTTCGGTCCGATTTTCTTCTATATAATTTTTCTACTCTATTTGGAACTCGGAGGTACGTAACGAAAATAAACTAAATCATCTACATTGAAAGTAATACATACACACCATTCAACTAGAATCTGCCACCATTTCCCGCATTGCCTTCGTGAAGGATGCAAATCTCAAACCGAAATGTTCTTCGACCGAGCTAGAAACTTTTCAAAAACCAGTTGTAATGCTGCGTCTGACAAAGCCACCGCAGAATGATGCTGCACAACGGATTTCAGAGGAAGAAGTAGATGGAGATGTGGACGAGGATGAGGATGACGACAACATTTCAGATGCAGCTGCGCACGAAGCACATGCCCAAAATGATTATAAACTTGTTGAGCTAAGCAAATCAGAAATGCTACAGCTCATTGAAAGCGGCAAATTACAGTTAGTTGAGAGTGCAGACGCCTCTCCATCCATTATTGAGCTATATAATGGAAATGCTAACGATGCGGTTGATGAAGATGATGATGAACGCTCGAAAAAGCGCCCTTGGCGCAAAATACAACGCGTCTTACGCCGCCAGCTGATTAAGAAGCCAACACGTTATTTTAAGAGAGTGGTGCATACATTTGGTTAAAATGGACTGTTGATGAGAAGCTGTGAAATGTTAAAGGATCATGTTTAATAAAGTTTTTAAATATATTGAATGAATTTTTCCCTACTTGACCTTCAACTGACCTCGAACCGGACGTAATGGAGGCTAACAGACCTCGGATCCGCATTCAGGGCGTCGAATAACATAGGGGTATAGAGGTTTGGTTCAGTATGTAGAAACTTTTTTTTGTATACCTGTGTTATTGTTTTTAATGAAATTTCTGTAGACTTGACTGCCGCGCGCCTAGGCTGCGTTCAACTCGACCTACCGAAGAAAAAATGAATGATATTTGCAGAGCTTTAATTTACTGGCATTACAGTGGTTCGTTAGAGTAATATCAACTGTGGACTATAAGAGGTTCTTGAGGTCAATTAACTTTGGAACAAAAAAATATTTTCTTCCAGATAAGCAAATCGATATATCTTTAAGATCTGACTGTTAGTTCATATGACGAGAATGTAAAAAAGCGATCCCGTCGTGACGTTGCGCAAACAAATTTTTTCAAATTGCCTTACAAAAATATGTTAGACCCAGGAGTGTACGGCGAACTTTTTTATGGTACATATTATAGCGAAATATCACTCTGAGATCCAGCTTAAAGATAAAGCTTATCATAGCCAGTGTCCTCGATATTGCTGATGGCATTTCCACCCGAAAAGTCACTACTGCAATAACAAGGCTCTCACGTTCCAGGATTGTTCTATACCGAAAAAATAAACTCATAATTTTTTATTTTGAAATCAAAAAATATTTAGAGGTCGGTCAAAGCGCTTAAAGTTTTTCATGCATTCTATATGGGTAAAAACAACTTTTCGTAGAAATGGTATAGAGTTCTCGAAAATCATTATTTTTCGATAGGAAAACTCTGTTTCTCTTCATGAGATTCCTAATAATAATACCCTGTTATTTATATAACCAGTTTTTCATAGTAACTTTAATTTATAGGTACCTACGCCAAAACCCCCATGCAATGGGGCGATAAATAAAAAATCTTTCGTATTAAAAATGGCTAAATAAACAACTGGGTGTTGTTAATGGAAGTCTCCTAAAGAGAACCAGAGTTTTCCGATCGAAAAATAATGATTTTCAAAAATTGTACAACATTTCTACGCTTTGAGCTACCTCTAAATATTTTTTGATTTCAAAATAAGAAAAAAATGGTATATTTTTTCGGCAGAGAAAAATCCTAGGGGCTGAGAATTAAAATTCCGACTTTACTAATTTTGGACCACCCTAGTGTACCTATGTACGTTTTTATAGGGTTTATAAAATTTTATGCACAGTAGGGTGCCTCACCAAAAAATGTTGCGATGTCTCCACCGGGATTATAAAATTTAAGAATTTCGCAAACAAATTTCGCAAAAATAATAAGATTTACGTGAGCTGGACCGATTTGAAATTAGGGACAAAAATCTCAGTACATATTTTGATTCCGGTGATGCAATTTTTAAAAATTTTTATGCATACCTTTTAAGGTTAAAATCTTTCATCATCTGAGGTGTTTTATTGGAAAAAATATTTTTTAATACTAATTTTATTTATAAAAACCTCCAATTTTTCAAGATATTTTCAAATTGGCCCTGGTCACGCTAATCTAAATATTGTTCGAAACTATTCTGGAGGCAGTATTAAAATATAATATATTTTAAATTTCTGCTGAAAATAAAGCGGCGACTGTATTGTATTAAAGAGTGATACACCCTAGTACATACACATATTTACATTTAAAAATGCATGCACAATATAAAATTTCTATTCAAGCATTTTTTTCGGTGCTATACATATGATTCCTTTTGACCAATGTTTGTAGGGACCACGTATAGAGGAGATCTTTTAAATTTTAGAATTTATATTCAGCTCTTATGTATGCTCTTGATTTGGAAAAAAACAAGAAATCGTTTAAGTAGTTATCGCATTGAAGTACTTAGACAGAAAATCTTTATTATACTAAGTCGAAATTTTTCCAGCAGGGTGTTCAATTTTAAGCCATTCGCTGAACTGTACATATGTATGAAGAAGGCATTGCATACTTGTAGGCGCTTCAGACAGTGATCATAGCATAACATTTTCAAGAAAGCTAGCATCTTATCAGTGTATGCAGAGAGCTAATATAAGGTCCCTGGTGAGAGTATTGCGTAAAGCTTTTTCCACCGCTTATCTCTGAATATGGCGAACGTAAACGGTCAGCTGTTTTTTCCATGACACTTGGTCTTGCAGTCGCAAACTTAACTCCCACTGATTTAGTCAGTAGCTGCCAGTTGTTCTGCGTCAATTTTACTTCTTTGTTTTGTGTTTCGTTTTTGAGCTTTGCACCCATTAACACGGGTAGTCGTTTACGTTTTTTTGTTTGTTGGGCGATCAACTGAATTTAAGTGTTGTTGTTGTGGATCGCTCATTTTTTATTGTTTAATTTATTTGGCAAAGTGTGTATACCATTCATTTATATACGAGTACATATAAGTACATATAGCATTATAGCATAGGCATTTTCGAAAAAGGCACTCGCTTTGCATTTACGTGAGTTTGCCATAGCTAAATATTATTACACAAGAACGAAGCGTGATTTTGATCTTTGTAGCTGTTTACTTTTCCAATCAGTTGCGGATTGTTAAGTAATCACAAAAGACGATACAAAATGGTATTGCTGGGGAAATTGGCCATTGTCACAGGTGATTGATACATACATAACTACAACTTGTTGTAAATGTTTATGTTACTTTTCGATTTTCTTTTGCATATTTGTTTATTCCACTATTTATGTGCCGGCACATGCGTTCGTCATTGTTTATTGCTACACACTCACTTCACACGCTGTCTACACACCACAGGCGCTGGCTCTGGCATTGGGCGCGCCACCTGCCGGATACTCGCACGCGACGGTGCTAAAGTGATCGCAGCTGATCGCAACTTGCGGGCAGCTGAACAAACAGTCAAAGACATCGGAAATGGTGAGCCTTAAAATATGCTACCATTGAGCGAATTCTGCATGTGACTTCTATTTATTTTCTTAAATTGTAATCGACACAGATCGTGCTTTTGCATTGGAGTTGGATGTGTCTTCGCTGGAGAGCGTCAGCAAAGGTGTCACTTCCTCCATTGAGCATTTCAAGCAACCACCTTCAATTGTCGTCAATGCGGCGGGCATCACACGCGACGGTTACTTACTCAAATTGACAGAAAAAGACTACGATGATGTGTACAAGGTGAATTTAAAAGGCACCTTCTTGATGACGCAGCAATTTGCGCGTGCCATGGTCGAACACCATGTGCGCAATGGCAGCATTATAAACATATCGAGCATTGTGGCACGCATTAGTAATCCGGGACAGGCTAATTATGCTGCCACCAAAGCGGGTGTGATCTCATTGACTGAAATTGCGGCAAAGGAATTCGGCAAGTTTGGCATACGTGTAAATTCCATATTGCCGGGTTTCATCGACACGCCGATGGTTGATGTAATACCGGAGCAGATTAAGCAAGAAATTTTTCAAAGGTGTCCCATGGGCCGTTTAGGTCGTCCAGAGGAAGTTGCTGATGTGATTGCATTTCTTGCTTGCGAAAAGTCATCTTATGTAAACGGTGCAGCGATTGAAGTGACTGGTGGACTGAAGTAGACAGAATAGTCGTGAAAGGCCGAGGAGATGTACAGATCTGTGGGAATTATCAATCCTTATGCTTTTACTACTCAGTAGATGTTTTATAATAAACCAAACATAATTTGCATTTAATACTTGTAGACTAGAATACTTGGACCAGCATTGCTGTGTCGTTAATCAACTGTTATACAAAATTTAGTGAAATTATTTTAATAAATGTACACAGATTTTTGATGATTTTTTTTTTCATTGGAACTTGTGTAGTTGATCTTCAGCTATAAATCCTTCATAATTAACCAAACTATGACAAATATACATTAGACCGGTGGGTGCCACCTTACTAAAGGCAATGCACCTTAAAATTAAATAAAATTCTCCCTTAGTAAAAAACATCGTTATATCATAATTTAAGGTCCTACTGTAAATGCCGAGGACATGACGAAAAATGCCACAAGGCGTGGTCCTAGGTTCGGCAAAAAAAATCGAGTTTGTCTTCGAATGAAATACTTCCTTACCAAAAGTTTAATGATTCTTGGGCGAGCTTTACTGACATTAGGGTGGTAGGAACTTAGTTCTGGTAGGAATTTTCGAGCGAAAAAAATTTCTCTGGACAAGGATTTATGCTAGATTTTTCAACAGGTCGGTGTGGTCCGAGCAGACGGATTGAGGTTCGTTACCCATATCATATAGGTACCGACTATTTGTCTATGCCGTTTTTTTTATCTTTTCAGCTTTATATTTATCACTTCCATGACTTTAATTCAGATCTTTATCTGTGTTCTTTTCTTTATCTAAATATTCACCCACAACTTTGCTATTATATTAAGTATTTAAATTTTCCTTCCTCTTTGTCTTTATATTTAGGTGTCTTTACTTATATTTTAATTTCTGTATTTATCCCTTTCTTCTTTCCACACTCAACTTTACCCTCTTCCTTGGTTGAGTCTAATGTATTCATGTACATACATACATACATCT